AAAAGACACAGCAAAAAATTGACACAAATAAAAAACCGTATAGCTACAGAAACGGATAACATTAATATAGAGCTGGTAAAATACGAAGGAAATATTTTGAAACTATAACTACAAATTCATTTAATTATTATATGTTAAAAATAAGAAACAAAATTCCAATGGATTGGACAATTGCTAAAGTTAAATCACTTTAAAAACCGAGGGAAGAATAGACACAAACAATATAAGAATTAATATCTTACTTAATGTAGGTTATGAAATATGCACTAATAATAGAATAGCATCACGTACACAAACAATAACTGAATCCCTTCTTGAGGAAGAATAAAATTGGTTCAAGATTCGCCACTTATACATAAACGCTATATTCCGATTTAACAGATAATCGAAAAACTCCGTAAATATACCCTAGAAACACATATCGCATTCGCAGATTTTACGATCGCTTTCTATAGAGAGACAAGAAATAAACTCAGGTTAATGTATACATTAACATGTGGATTTAGGTGTTTTAAAATATTCTGAGAAAATACAATAACTAAAGAGAGAGAGTGCTGAAAAAGATAAATGGTCAAAAAGACGAACCACTAAGAACTAAAATGGAAAATAGCAGTATTCTAGTCAGCAGATGAATGGCAATTGCTACAGTTGTTTATGCAAGAAAATATTTACGGCAAATGCAGTATGGAAAAGTAAGGATTAGAGAATCGTTCACGTGAACTTTTAGTCAACTGTTCCATAATAGAAACAAAAAATCATATTAACATGGTGGTAGATAACCTACGTAGAACGTAAAAAAATATTAACAACAAAATAATTTTTATTGTTGCTCTAAATGCCTCGGCATATATTTAGGAAATTAGGCCATAAAAACTTCGAATAATCAAAAAGAAAAAATAGAATAAAATACAAATAAGGAAACATTTTTATTCAATTATTTTTCATTCAGTTCAGGCTAAGACGCCATAGGGAGAACTAAAGAAAACAAGGCAACAAGTCTTGATAATGAACTTGCATTAATTTAATTTCTAAAATTAATGGATGATATAGAAATAAAATAGCTCACACTGATATTTAACATCTATAGGCGGTCTAATAACTAACCTATTTCGAAATTGGAAACATATGTTTTTTAAGAAAACTCTTTTATTTTATTTGATGTAAGTCTTTAGCTTAATAAAATGATTCCAGCGATTTTTTAATCTATTTTTGCAGGAGAATAAACTAGATGAAAATTTCATTCGAAGCTCAACTCGTCAATTTTAAACAACGCTCCTATCTTTTGCATATGAGGCCGTTTCTTACTGAGTTCCTGCTTCGGTTTGTCAAATATTGCACAATAACGTTGACTATTAACAGTTTGAACTTTTTAGAGATAGTCAATTAAAATTAGGCCCCTTTAATTCCAAAATGCAATGGCGATGACTATTGCAACCCATTGAGCTACTCTTGGCCGGTTCGGAGCAATTTTCTCGGCTTTAGTCTACTGTTCTGCATTTATTTTGTTTTTGGTGTACAGTTTCACCAACGTTTCACCAACGGTTCTCAATAAATGCCAAGCGTTTAACGAACTACGCTTGATTAGATCCAAACATTGCTAAGAAGTGGTCACACGATCATGTTTTTGGTCAATGATCAGGAAACGCGGCACTCATCAGCAGGATGTGTTTTTTTATATTCACAGCGTCATTCAAAATATGGCTAGTGCACTCAGTAGTACTTCTTGTAGCATCTGCTAATTCAAGCAACTTCAATTTATGATCAGCTGAATCTATTTAATGGACTCCCTTCACATTTTCCGATGTAAATGTAGAGAGCCGTCCGTACGTGATTCATCTAATATAGATATACGGACACTACGCAATTCACGGAAGCAAAATTTACCAGGGTGATCTACAGGTGCATTAGTTCGATAATATTTATCTTTTTTTTGTTTCCTTCGCCATTTTTCTACATAACGGCCTTTTTTGCAAACACGCCAAATTTATGCATCTGTTAAAAATACACTAATGACTGCATCGCGGTAAAATTTAATGTGTATACATACCTAAAAAAGTTTACACTTTTTAGAACTAATGTTATTTTTAGGATCTCAGCGCCTTCATCAACCAAGGAGGTTACTTATCATACCACCAGATATATCAAAGTTAAAATTTCACAAGGCTGGTTTAAATTAACATTTTTAACTTTATCAGACACATCAAAAGGAAAAAAATTCACAGTAGGATATAAAAAACGTGATGTACATTTATCACGAACACAGTGAATACACATAATGTTAATTATAATGTCTTTATGTATCGTACCCTCTTCCAAAAGACATTTGTTATTTCACAGAATAAAGCATGACATTATTATTATGATAATAAAAGATGTTGGTATAGCTGATAAAGAAATTAACACTTTAAAAAACATATATTATAATCAAATTATAAATATAAAAATCAATAACCAGTTTGCAGATCTCATACCAATAGAATGCGGAGTGCAACAAGGATGAATATTTTCGCTACTGCTCTTTATATATGTCCCAAACACTTTTTTTAAACATGCTATAGATATTGACAAATGAATTTCATGAAAGGACAAATTCTTAGTAATGTCATATGTGTATGATAGAGCAGTGTCTGAAGATAGCATATGAAAGTGCTACAAATACTAATGACTCACAGAATAGTAGTAAGTTAACTATTAGATTCGGCTAGATGTTTATATAAAAATGACTGAGTACATGATTGTCAGTAAAAACTATAATAGTATTCTATACCATATAAACTAAAAATCGGATTGGAGAGAGATAAATATTTACAAGGAAATTGAAATCGTGTAGTTGGTTGTATACTTTAAATCATAAAAAAAATTTTATGTAAAAAAATCCCATCCCATAAAAAAATATTATAAAAAAAACCATCAAGCTACATCACAAAACTTTTATGGGAATAACTATTCCATTATCAGTGCTATTATAAAATAGATACTACCACGTTAATTACAGCAAACTGTTAAAATCTTAACCAAGATTATAACAAAAATGTTCTTTAATACTCACTGGATTTATATATCTGAAGCCGCAAAATACATCGTTAAAAACACTTTAAATATAGTTAAATTCATCATCATCATCATCATCCAGCCGCATTTTCACATCCATTGTTGGAAATAGGCCTCCTCCAAACGTCTCCAGTTCTCTCTATCTTTAGCTGCTGCAATCCAGTTTGTTTCTATTCTCCTTAGGTCGTCGGTCCATCGGGTGGGTGGTCTGCCTCGACTTTACTTGTCAGCTCTTGGTCTCCACTCCAATAATCTCTTCGTCCATCTTTCGTCTTCCATTCTAGCAACATGTCCAGCCCACCTCCCCTTTTGTTTATTGATTCGCAGTTATTGATTCGATAGTTGAATTACTGTTAATATATTTATTAGTTTCATTATTAATAATTTAAAATTACATTTTTGATGTTAAAAAACTAGGATGTTTAAGTTATAAACGGAATTAACTTAATGGATACGTACGATTCCACTGGGGTTGTTAACCCCTGGCCGAAGCTTCTAGAAGGACTTGTTGATAGCAACTGATCAAAATGACATATAAGGATGTAAGTCTGTTAATTAGTGCAGCAGTAAAACAATAAATAGCCACATTTAGACACATACCACCGGTTACATTTACAACTTTGTTCAGACTTCCTTCTTAATAGGTCATTTTGATCAGTTGCTATTAAAGTCCTGAGAGAGACTACGTCTAAATGCTAACAACCCCAGTTTATCTTCCTCTTGGCTTGAATAATTGTCATTTAGCCAGTCTCAATCAACCAGAGCAGAGCTTCACTAAAGAATTTAAATATGTCAATAGGTGAAACATGTTTAATATAATAATAATATTATTATGAGTCCTACGTTACCACGAAGCTGATTCTATTTATAACTGGAACATAGTAGTGTTTTAACATAAAAAATGTAATATAAAGTTAATTCAACTATATTTAAAGTATTTTTGCCCATGTATTTAGTGGCTTTAAACACGTAAATCCATTAAGTATTTACTTTCACGTTTTCTTTAATTAAAGTGCTAATACTTATTTTAGGATAGTACTGATGATAAAATTGTTGATCCGAAAACGTTCTGTGATGTAGCTCGAGAGGGTTTTTATATTACTATACCTTTTACAAAGGATTTTATTAAATAAAAAAATTGTTGGATACACATTAGTTGTTTTATTTCTGTGAAAACATAACAATGACTAGTAAAACCTACATCTGCATTTATTAAGGATATTTTTATTAGGATCGGAAGACGAATTCTTAACGTCGCAGAATTAAGCAAGTACGTGAAGTTCGTAGTACGATAAAAAACGGAAATGACAGTACTTTGAAAAGTGTATAAAAAATTTGGATTTATATGTTTAACTCATGCAGGTTATTAAACGAAAAGGCCGTCATAGTTAATTTACCGATCTGTTTTGTCAGCAGTTAGCAAAGTAATGACATGATAACCGTCAATATCTAAAAGAATAGGGTAGACGCCACAAGAAGAAGAACTTCTGGCGTTAAATAAAACTAAGTTTTAAAAACCCACCTAGATTTACTTATGCAACTATTTGGAAAGATTAGACTATTTCAAAATATGGAAAAAATCAGACATAATGGTGATTAAATTACGAATGATAATGATGTTTATAAGAATTATGTCATTTAAGAAAAGCTGTTATCCAAACATAATTTATTTAATTTTAAATTACAATTATTTATGTTATTCCTATATATATATATATATATATATATATATATATATATATATATATATATATATATATATATATATTTACATAAAATATCTCATTAAAATATTTTATATATGTTGATATAAACTGCTTTACATTGTCACTTTTCCCTAACATTGGTGTATAGGACTGGACTCTTCATATATTTTAGTCAGATTATTCCCAATTCACCTCTATATTATATTTAAGTCTGCTTCTGTATAAAAAATTTAGCATTTGCTATTATTTTGGACTAAGAAAGTATTTTATAGCACTTTCCGTCATACCCATACCAAAATCATTTACAAATACAATAGCTCTGACTGCCATATTATAATAAACTGAAGACAATCGATCGATCTGAAAAAGGAAAGTTAGTATAGCAGAAAGTTAAATAAGCGAGTAAATAATAGAAAGATAGTGCAAGGTTAGCTTAGAAAAAAAAGTAAAATTTATATTAGTAAAAAAGTGAGGCAGTTTATTGTTGTAAGGTGCATATTAAAATATTACTTAACCCATAAGAGATCTCCCAACTAGAACACTCGGTGTAAAGCGCGATTTATTTTTAAGAAGATAAATAGCAATAGCTAAAGTTTATAATGCTTCTGTCTTCCAGACTGGTCCTGTGGTATTTTCAAAATCGCCACTCCATCAAATTTGGAATCTTTATCCAGGTCTTTTAGCCTCGTAATATTGAAAGGTTTTTATTTCTTTATTTTTGCTCTTATTGCTCCTATTTTATATTCCTAATTGATTAATGAGTCTATGTTCAAGAAATAAGATCCTCACCTTTTGTCGTTCCATGGCTCTTTGAATCCTTCTTATCTTCCTTAACTTGGCTATTGTATTTTGTTATTTTTAAGTACAATAGGGAGTATTACAAAATACTCACATAGCCCATTTTATTCTTGCTCTTTTACTTATTTCTTTTTCTTCGTCTCCTTCTTCTTTTTCCTTTTTATAAACAATCTTTCTTGTTAATTGTTGGATTGATACCTCTATAGAAGGTTGTCATTTCATCTTTTAAGCGCTCGTCCGATACTTCATGTACCGATTTAGTGTCTATTCGTTTATGCACTGTACTATACATTTTCTTCCAATGTTTTGATTCTTTTTTCGATCGCTCATAGTATTTCCTTGAATTCTTCTTAGAACTCTTATGTGTGTTATTTCCAGTCTTTGTGTTGATAGGGTAGACTGTGTGAGTTATACTGTGTGAGTCAGACTACGGGGTATATGAATGGGGATATCGGGGAAATGCCCAGATAGAATTGATGCCTTACTAGGAGCAATAAAAAAACCAAAAACCAGATAGCTGAATGACAGAGGAGGGTCGGGTTTAGCAGTTGGTCATAAATTCAGCGACGGGGGGCGATTTTAAAGTACCTCGAGAACTATCGCCGCCAGTACGAAGAACGAATCCTGCATTAAGGTCAGTCGGGTGGCGTCCTGGACTGAGATGTCTTTAAGATTATTAACTCCCCTCTATAAAGACGGAAAAACTCTTTGTGTTGTGGCTGGTTTATAATTTCTTGACTTTATCTTAATTCTCGTGTTAATCTATCGGTTTTACCATAGTGTTGATAAACCATCTCAACTGATTTCTGTGGTCTATTTTTCTTTATTTATTTTAATTGATTTAGGTGTAAGTCGACCTTTTTTTCGATTGTTCGATATATTATTGTTATTGTCTGATATCAACAGGGTTTAGTTTGTTTAAGACCAATATTTAGTTATTTTCTTCTGTATTTTATCTGAAGGTATTCACCATCAAAATAGTCGATACTAAAAAATTGTAACAAAATATTTGGTACAATTACACCCTAAATTTCAGATTTTAATTCAGATATTAATGATGTCAAGTTTTTATAAAACGTCTAGTTAAAACTCCTTGGTATATGTATGTGTGGAACATTATTGAACAACATAATAACGACTAACATACTAAAGGCGGTACAGGTAAAGAAATTGAGAAAAATAATAACGAAAATAAAATTGTATCGATGTAAAACTGTAAAAAATTAAAAACAGGAATCGATATTATCATAATTTATAAAAGGAAACTTCATTGGTGTTAAGATATTAGAAAAATAAGCTGAGAAGAATGGGAAAAGGTATTAAAAGTCAAAAGTCTAAAAAAAATGTATACATAATATACATTATGTATACATAGACATAGAACATGGCTTGCATCCAGGAACTATTAGAAACACTCAAATAGGCTTTAGACTAGTTTGAAATACCGAGAATAGGCAGAATCTATCCGTGTTACACTAGTAAGGGTTTGACGTCCACAGGGAGTGCATAGAAATTAAGAACGACCGAAAACAGCTAATAAACTAACATCAGAAAATAAATAGGCACGAGAAAGTTGGAGAAAGTCACTGGGAATAGTGAAAGAAAAAAAAAAGAAAAAATCTAATAAATATACAGAAAATAAAAACCAATTATCAGTTTTAGTAAGGACTTCCTAATATACAAGTAGAAAACGTAGTTATGAGTATATAATACTAATATAGAAGTATAAAATACTTAAATAAAAAGAATCGTAGGTAAGGAAAATAAAAACGGGCAAAATCCAACTTTTACATAAAAATTTTTTAAACTATGTATATCGCTCTACTCTCGGTATGGGATCGATGTGGGATCGAACCCCAGCTCGGTGTACAAAAAAATAAAAAAGGCTAACGCAGTAGTTTAAAATTCTAGATGAATCTGCGGCTTATAATAGAATATGCTGGGTGTCTGATCGGCCTATGGTGGAGCAATACGGCAAGAGATAAGGGCTTGCAGCTCGGTGATACTCCTCTATAGATCCCTACAGGAAGGGCGTGCCGCCTAAATACCGCTGTATATATATATATATATATATATATATATATATATATATATATATATATATATATTTATATATATATAATATATATATATATATATATATATATATATCTATATATTTATATATATATATATATTTATATATATATATATATATATATATATATATATATATACAGATCGCTTTACTATTTAAAATATGGGAGCGCGTTTAAAAAACCCTGGAACACATTGATTAAAATTTTTAGTTGCGCATTTTTTGTACTAAAAACTGTTGATTAACAGTGATCAATATAATTTTCTTATTTTAAATACAACACCCTGAATATTATTCAATTTATGCATTCCATGGAATATTCTAGACATATTTTAAATTTTCATATTTCAATGTCCTATTTCTATCTTTAACTGTTTTGAAAAATTAGTGTTTTCAGATTTATTGCAAGAATTGCTACAACACACTCAATGCTAATTGCTCATGTAGTTCTTTCTAAAGAAAAAATAATTAAAAACTGTTTCATCGTTTCTTTTAACTGATATGATTATAAAAAAAATATGTTTTATAATATTTTTGTTTATTTTAGTCTAAAACGTCTGACCTCAGCACATTGTTATCTGTTGCCATGATAGTAGTTGTTAGTGTTATAGATGTTTGAATTTCGTTAACTACATTATCAGAGCAATTGTCTATTTAACAGAAATACACAAAATAACAATTTTAGATTTTGACTGGTTATGGAGATAACACACGAATTCAACTGGATGTTGCTTACTTATTTTATAAACATTTGCTGTCCATATCCAAGGAAGAATTAGTAAAATATAAATGCAGTTTCGCGAGTTTGGATATATAAGGCAGATAAAAAAACAGTTGCTACTGTAATAAGTGATGACGACAAATTAAATATTTTGCTTGAGTTTGAGGAAAACCTACATACTTCTAGTCGAAATACAACTCTAATGTTTGATGTTGGCCCGCCAGCTTAGGAACTCATGCAAAACGAGTTTTGATAAGAGAACGAATTTTTGTGAACAAATGAGCTAATAAATAACAATTTAATAATCCCTTTTTAATTTATTGCAACTTGAATGGAAATAATTATTTAGCACTTCAATACATTGTCATACTAAATTTGACAAATGTTTATCCTGATTCAGCAAACACATAAGTTCCAGCAAATACATTATACTTTCAGCAACATGGAGCACCACCCGATAACCAAATCAATATTCGGCAGTAAATTAACCGATTTAAGACTTCTTTTTATGGGAATATGTCAAAAATGTTATATAAAAACTAAACCCCTCAAGATAGCTGACTTAAGAAGACGAATAACTTCAAATGCATTCTAAATTCATTAACCCTTATCGTTACATTTTTGTTTCAGTTTTGTGCGACAGGTCGAGGTGAACGCAGAACAATTATCTCTTAACAGGTTGACTGCCAAGCTGAAAATTCTAATTTTTCCTGTTGCGCCAAAGTAATTTATAGTAGAAAGGTGTATTAAAAAACAGTTCGGCACAAACTAAATTTTGTTTTAAATTAAAAGAAAAAAATTACGGCCAAAATTTAAAATCGGCTAAAATGACCGCTCTGGCGTAGGCGGACAAAATAACCTGTCTACGCCAGGGCGGTCAGCTGTAGCGGCCACCTCTATCCTTATGCTAAGGTAATAGTTCGCGCGTTTTAGCTAGTTAGTTAGTGTAGACTATTATTGCAAGGGTGTGGCTCGTTGTTTTTATTGTGTGTGTACTTGTATTGCAAAACTACATTATGTTTACAAATCGGCGTACTTTACGTCTATTGAAATTAGCTGGAGAAATGCCTCAAACAGATGGTAATACCTGCATTATTTTATTGTTTTTCTGTAAATATAGGTTAGATTGTTTTATTTCAGAAGAGTCAGAAACAGATGACGACTTTGGTTCATTTAATTCTACAGATTTATATGTACCCTCAAGTTCGGAAGAAATGGACATATCATCTAATTCAGACCATGATGAAAATATTAGTCCAAATAAAAAGAAAATGCGGTTTGATATAAACAAAACCACTGATACTTGTGAAGCTCAAGCAGGTCCATCAGGTATTGGTAATGGGGTAAATATCAATCCACTGACAACCGAGCCGCTTAGAGATGTCACCAATATGTCCGACGATGAGTTACTACCAGAAAATAATGAGATTGGAAATGATCCAATGGTTGATAGAGGGGATTTTGTGATTGATCAACCAATTAGTAGCCCAGTTCCAACAGAATGGACAAATCCTGTTAGTAATCACCAACAATTCGATTTTACTGAGACATGGGGGCTCAACCCAATTTATGCAGCAGCTATTTCTTTAGAACAAGTTTCACCGTCAACCTGTTTTTACGCATTTCTTGATAATGAAGTAGTGGATATGATAGTAAATCAAACCAATTTATATGCAACACAGCAAGTGTTAGGACATGATGTTTCACTGAATTCGAGGTTACACGCCTGGCAACCAACGAATAAAAAGGAGATGTATCAGTTCA